TCATGGAAATTTGTTCCTCACTAAGAACAGGTTTATTTTAAAACTTTAATAACTACTAGCACGAGGAACCCTGAGAGAGTGATTAAAGCAAACAGCTGCTGAATGAATGAATAGAAAATGCACGCCTGAATGAGAGAGGCTTCTGGTTGGGCAGAAATGTGAAAAGTAAACTAGATCTGAACGACATTTCTCTGAAGCACTTCCCTGAACATTCAGAGCAACAGCAGCATTAACGGGATAAACACACAGCCCTCAGGGGGAACCATCTTTTGGATTTCTCCTCTCTCGATATTGCCTTTAAGAGAGAGAGAGAAAAAAACAGTCTTATTACTTTACTGGTGCAGCCCATAGATTCCTTCTCTTGTTAGTTCACATACACTGATCCAGCCCTTACTAAAAGTCCCCGGTCACCTGGGCTCTTGGGAAACAACTGGCCCGGGGCAGCCTGCCTTCTGGATTATTCTTTTGCTGTTGGGCAGAATGATAGGTTTGGTCCAAGTGATAGAAACAGATTGGTAGCTGCTTCCTTGGATTTTTTTGTTTGTTTGTTGGCTTGACTTGTTGGATGTTAGCTTAAGATACTAGAAATGACTTTGACTAGTGTGCTAAACTCAAACATTTATTTAGCAACTGAGTCTAGCGTCAGGCTCAGAGCCTCAATTTACCCCATCTGGAAAATGGAATGGAGCTAGATGACTTTGTACGTGTAGTCAGGTTGTAGTATTTTGTGAGTCAATGATACACCCCACCCTAACTCAGCTCATGCTCCCGATTCATCTTCCAAGGCAACCACCACCATCGCAGAACCAGCCCCCCGACCAATGAATGTCACTACCAGCTGGGCTCCGCCTAAAGAAAGAGGACAGGAAATACTTCCTCAAGAGAACATTTAAACTCAGTGAATATTTTTCTGTTTTGTAAGGGGGCCATTTTCAGTCATTTCCCAAATATATTCCTGAGACTCCTTCTCTAGGTAAGAAAGGTTGGCATGAGCATCATAACATTTTAGAGCTGGTGACGGCCTCTGTCCTAGGAGTTGTCAACGTCAACTAGCTGAACACTGCAATCAACTGGGGAGTTTTTTAAAATGCCAATTCCTGAGTCCTGCCCTTTAAGAGATTCTTTTGTAATTGGTCTGGGGTATGGCTTGTGCACCTGAGTTTTTAAAAAAATGTCCCAAAGTGGTTCTAAAGTGTAGCCGAGGACTATAAACCGCAGCTCTAGCCTGGTGGTTCTCAAACTATGCGCTTCAGACCAGAAGCCTCAGCCAGTCTGGAACTGGCTAGAAATGTCCATTCTTGGCCTCATTCTATACCTACCAAATCGGAAACTCCGGGGTGAAGCCCAGCAATCTGTGTTTTAACAAGCCCTCCAGGAGATTCTGATGCACGTTGGAATTTGGAAACTATTACAGCCTAATAATTCCTAACAGGTGGATTGAAATTTCAAGAAAAGGTTCTCCCTTTGCCAGGGCTGTATGGTGATGGGGTTGGCCAGACAGGGGTCAGGAGCTGCCAGTGCCAGCGGGACAAGGCCCTCCTGCTTCTCCTCATTTAAGCTGGTCTCACTTTCTGCCTGGACCCTGCAGTCGCTTCCTAACTATAACCACCACCGTTACTCCTTTCCTGCTCTAATTGTCCATGCTATGGCAGAGACGTCTTCTCTCAATGCAGAGCTCATTCCTGTCTCCTGACTTCCAGCCCTTTCCACCCTCCGCCCTTAGACCTATCAAGAAGAAGCCTGAGGCAGGAGCCAGGGGCC